AAGTGGTAGGGACCGTCCACAGCCTTGCAGAGTCCAGGTGCTAAAGGACACAAATTGGCAGTTGCGTTGGTGGCAAGGAGGATCTGTCCCTCCCTTCTCACAACCCTCTTCCAAGAAGGGTTTGCTCAGAGAGCCCTCCTGGGGAGATCTTTATTACTCCAGAAATAAAGTATGCTTCATTTTTAGAATGGATTTAGCTCTTCTCTTCAATCACAACACAGACCTACTATTTATATGAACCTTATCCTAGACAGTTCTAGTTGAAAACATATTTAGAGTTCTGATTAACATCTGTCCTCTACTTTTATTAGAGGTAATTGTTTCTACTGTTAGACCCCCTCCATGGTAAATGCTTATATGCACCATAGCTATTAGCTAAGCCAAGTGTAGGAGCTGAATCTGCCATCTGGTTCATCAGTTTATTCCCTTGACAAACAGCAAGACTGGAGATAGGTCTGGTAACAAGGATAGGAGACAGACCTCAAGAAAAAGCTGATACAATGAAGAGTTTCACACACACCCAAAGGGAATGTGTATGGAATAGTAAGAAGGAAAGCAGGCAACTGAGTAAGACACAGCCAGAGGCAGCAGACAGTATGCCTGACAGTGAGAGAAGCAACCCCACATCTCTCAGGGCCCCAAATCAGAATCTGTAATTACTATGCAGATCTCCTGTCAGAAAAAAATGCTTCCTTCTCCTGAACCATGGAGTGAGAATCTGTTGGATAGTTTTTATTGAATTTATTAGACTTCAAAACCAACCATATTGTTTTTCTTTCTGCTGTAATGCTATAACTTGCCTTTCTTTTTATTTAGTTTCTGTGGATTCAAAAGCCACAAGGTTTTCTTCACCATCAGAGTTCTAACAAAGGTCTTAAAAGTTGCATTTCTTTGCTTATTTTCAATAGAACAGGTCTCCACAACTGTGTGTGTCAAATTTGTGTGGATGGGCTTAGCCTTAGGTTTGTAATAAGCTTCCAAACATACCTGAGAGAGTTGAAATATAACTACAGCTGAGAATTCAGTCTGACTTGTTTCAGCATCTGTATTTTGGGTGTTGGAAAGCACCAGGGAAATAACCTCCCTGTCTAAAATAATCATAAAATCATAGAAAGTTAGGGTTGGAAAGGACCACAGGAGTTCATCTATTCCAAACCCCTGCTCAAAGCAGACAGACCATCACCAACTAGATCATCCCAGCCAAAGCTTTCTCTAGCCAGGTCTTAAAAACCTCCAAGGATGGAGCTTCTACCACCTTTCTGGGTAACCTGTTCCAGTGTTTACTACCCTCCTAGTGAGAAAATTCTTCCTAATATCCAACCAAACTTCCCTTGCTGCAACTTGAGACCATTGCTCCTTGTTCTGTCATCTGCCACCAAGAACAATATAGCTCCATCCTCTTTGGAACAACCCTTTAGGTAGTTGAAGGTTACTATTAAATCCCCTCTTTCTTCTCTTCTCTAGACTAAATAAGCCCCGTTCCCTCAGCCTCTCCTCACAAGTCATGTCCTCCAGCCCCCTCACCATTTCTGTTGCCCTCCACTGGACTGTCTCCAATTTGTCCACATCCTTTCTGTAGCGGGGGGGGGGCGGGGAATGAACACAGTACTCCAGGTGCTGGCCTCACCAGTGCTGAATAGAGGGAAATAATCACTTTCCTTGACCTACTGGCAACACTCCTACCAGTGTAGCCCAGTATGCCATTAGCTTTCTTGGTAACAAGGACACACTGCCGACTCATGTTCAGCTTATTGTCCATTGTAACACCTGGGTCCTTTTCTGCAGAGCTGCTGCCCAGCCAGTCAGTCCCCAGCCTGTACCAGTGCATGGGATTCTTCCATCCTAAGTGCAGGACTTTGCACTTGTCCCTGTTGAACCTCATGAGATTCCTTTTGTCCCAATCCTCCAATCTGTCTAGGTCACACTGAATCCCAGCCCTACCCTCCAGCATATCTACTACTTCCCCCAGCTTGGTGTCATCTGCAAACTTGCTGAGGGTGCACTGTATGTCATCTTCCAGGTTGTTAATGAAGATATTGAACAAAACCAGCCCCAGGACTGACCCCTGGGGCACTCCACTTGATACCGGCTGCCAACTAGACATCAAGCCATTGATTACTACTCTCTGAGCCCAATGCTGCAGCCAATTTTCAATCTACCTTACAGTCCATTCATCCAGCCCATACTTCCTTAGTTTGCCTGTGAGAATGTTGAGGGAGACCATATCAAAAGCCTTGCTAAAAAGCAATGTACACCACATCCACCGGTCTCCCCGCATCCACAGAGCCAGTCATCTCATCATAGAAGGTAATCAGGTGGGTCAGGCATGACTTGCTTCTGGTGAATCCATGCTGACTGTTTCTAATCACGTTTTTTCCTCCAAGTGCTTAGAAATGGATTCCTTGAGGATCTGCTCCATGGTTTTTCCAGGGATTGAGGTGAGGCTGACTGGTGTGTAGTTCCCTGGATCCTCCTTTTTTTGCTTTCTTAAATATGGGCACTATGTTTGGCCTGTTCTGGGACCTCTCCTGATCATCATGAGTTTTCAAAGATGATGGCCAGTGGCCCTGGAATCAATCAGCCATCCTCAGGTACATCCCATCCAGCCCCATGGACTTGCACATGTCCAGCTTTTCTAAAAAGTCCCTAATCTGTTCTTTTACCACTGTTGGCTGCTCATCTCCTTCCCAAGCTGTGCTGCCAGGTGCAGTGGTCTAGGAGCTGGCCTTGCCTGTGAAGACTGAGGCAAAAAAGACATTAGCATTTTCTGCATCCTCTGCCACAAAGTTGCCTCCTCCATTCAGTAAGGGACCCACACTTTCCCTGATCCTCCTCTTGCTACCAACATACTTGTAGAAATCCTTCTTGTAACCCCTCATATCCCTTGCTAGCTGCAATTCCAATTCTGCTTTGGCCTTCCTGACTTCATCCCTGCATGCCCAAGCAATGCTCTTATATTCTTTCCTAGTTATTTGTCCAAGTTTTCACTTCTTATAAGCTTGCTTCTTGTGATTTAGTTTACTGAAGAGTTCCCTGCTAAGCCAAACTGGTCTTCTGCCATACTTGCTAGTCTTCCTGCACATCCGGATGGTTTGTTCCTGCACTCTCAGTAAAGCTCCTTTAAAGTACAGCCAGCTCTCCTGGACTCCTCTCCCCCTCAGTCTGGCTTCCCAGGGGATCCTGCCCATGGTTTCCCTGAGTGAATCGAAGTCTGCTTTTCTGAAGTCCCAGGTCATTACTCTTCTTCTTTCCATCCTTTCTTTCCTCAGGATCCTGAACTCAATCTATCTCGTGGTCACTGCTGCCCAAGTTTCCATCCAATACTACATTCCCCACCAATTCATCTCTGTTTGTAAGCAGCAGGTCAAGAACAGCATGGCCCCTCGTTGGTAGGCCTGTGTGAGTAGGCAGCTATTTGATCCGGCTTGGATCTGGCTGCTTTGGATGTCAGCGATCCGATCCAGAGCTCCAGACCAGGTTCCCGCTTTGATCCGGCCAAAGCGGCTCTGAAGCTTCGGAGCTGCCTCGGAGATCCGGCCATAGGGTATAATGGAGAATCAATGGAAGATCTATAACTTTGTTATTTTTTGTATGATTTGGATGAAACTTGCAGGGATGGTAGCCTCTGCTAAGAGCATAAAGCCTGCCAAGTTTCAAGAAGATCAGTGCCGGGGTTTGGGGGGAACTGTACCCCAAATTCTTGAAAGCCAAAGAATTGGCACAGCCCAGCTGTGTGTTACATCACAGGGGGCTGAAAACTGCAGGGGCGGTAGCTCTTACTGAGGCCACAAATCCTGCCAAGTTTCAAGTCAAGGAGATAGATGCAGGGCTTCTGGGTTCTGGGGCCCTGCACCTCTAGCTGCTGACAGGCAAAACTCATGACATGGGTGCTTGTTCCTATAAGCCACAGTTTCCACAGCATCAAACCTGGACCTGGGTGGAAGCCTCGACGGTGAGCAGTCCTGCCTGGACAGAAACCTTATAGGTGCAGGCAGAGGCAGTGGCTCTGGAATTGCAACGTCGTCCAGCCATTTCCCTGGGTCTCTTAGCCTGCCTTCTCTCTCTTACTGCTCTTCTTCCAAGCACATCTTCCCTAGCAAATTCATCTAAAAGCTGGCCTGTTGCTCATTGGCCCCAAAGGTTTCCTTTTTTTTCCCTGCTTCATCAAGCCAGGCTTGCCACTCAAAAATAAAAAGGGTGGGGGGCACAAACTGGCCTTCGAACTGCCTACCCTGTTTGCAGCCCCTGTTCACTGAGTCCCTGCTCACTGGGGCCATTTGTAAACATGCTTGCACCGCAGTGCCAGGCACTTCTAAAAGTACCCAGTGCTGTGGCGCATGCAGTTACGTAAACGGCAAAATGCGTGTTAGCGCTGAGAAAATGGCATTGGCGCATTTTTGAACTAAAACACCTCAAAGGTCTTTAGTTTAAAAACTTACCGCCACCATTTTCTGTGCACTGATATGCATTTAGCCATTCATACAACTGCACGCAACACAGCATAGTGTGCGTTAGCTCACATGCAGAGCAGACTTGATTAATCGAGTCTGCTCCAACCTGCCAGATCTCCAGCATGTCGCAGGATGAAAAGGTATGTGTATAAATGCCCTGTGTGCTTTTAGTGGAATATATGACATTCTCAGTAGAGAAGTTCCAGTCAGTTCATCCCTAGGATTTCAACCTTCAAAGGAAATGTACGGATACTTTCCATATTATGGCTTTAAATCTTAATATTGTCCAGCTGTAAACTGAGTGTTGCATGGGGCAGTGCAAGTATCTAAGATGAATTACCATAGTGTTTTGCTTCAGTCAAATATTTTCATATAAATGATATGCAACTTCCTTTCCAGTGCTGAATGTAAGACTTGGGATCTCTGGCTGTACAGTAACCAACAATCTGAAGTATGGAACAGCCCCATTTTCTTTCTTGAAGAAGCAGTAGCTAATGCCTTCTATCCCTAATGTGCTCATTCACCTGCCACTCTTTTCTAACCCAACAGGAAAGAACAGGCCTATGTTGAGAAGTGCTGGAAAGACGTGCAAGTGGGAGACTTTGTACAGCTGCAGTGTAATGAGACCATCCCAGCTGATATCCTGCTACTGTACTCCTCTGATCAGAATGGAACCTGTCACTTAGAGACTGCCAACCTTGATGGGGAGACCAATTTAAAACAAAGACAGGTAGTGACAGGATTCTTCCATCAGGTAAGCATATTGGAAAATATAACCAGAGGATATTAATTGCAGCCTACCTCTATTTGCATGACAACTAGTTGCTAGTGTGACATGTTAGATAAGAATGTTCTGAGAGGCTTAATTACCTCTTCTTCAACCTAGGCCATGTACAAGCATTCATTTCTAGTGGTGGAAAACTCCCACTGCTAGAAATGATTCCAGGAGAGGGAACAGTACAGATGTTCTGTCTGCAACTGCCCTCTCTCCCCTGCTCTTCACACCTTCTCACGAGTGTAGACTGATTCTGGTCTGGGGAAAGCATGAACTATTCCAGTCTTCCTGTTCCCAGTGGGGAACGGAACAGCAGGACTGGAGCAGCAGGGCAAAGCCTTGTACCCACTTCTCACACTGGGAACACCAGAGTGAGAAGCAAGCAGGGCACTCACAGCACTGCTCTCTACTCAGGTCCCAAGAGCTGAGCAGAGGGAGCAGCAGAGGAAACCCCCTGTCTGCTTCTCACTCTATGGACTCCAGAGTAAGAAGCAGTTGGCGAGCAGGTGGCAGCTGCTGCTCTCCTTTTCCCTCCTGGTCTATGGGAGGGGCTCAAGCAGCTGCTCCTCACAGTCCCTAGAAGACACAGGAGCCTTGCTCCGCAGCTTGGCTCCTCTTGGTCCCCAGGAAGCATTAAACTGTGGAAAAGTGTACAGACATTCAGTCTCTCAGGAAAAGCTGTCCCAGAAGCAATTTCTATCTGGTCGTAGTCAAGTTATGACTGTCCCAGAACAGCCTTTTTTGTTCTGGGAGAAAAAGCTGGAATGTTTGTATGCCTGTGGTTTCTTTCAGTAGAGCAACAGTTCTCCCAGTAGAACTGAATGTCTGTATAAGGTACAGCTGCAGAGTAGGGGTGTGTGAAGCAGGCCCTATTCGATTCAGATTCGGATACGGCCCAAATCAGGGACAGAGATTCGATTCACTGATTCGGATCACTCTCCCTGATTCGATTCGGACGAATCCAAATCTGAAGATTCGATGCTTATTCAGATAATTAGTGATTCGGACATAGACACAGCTTTAAAAGTTTTTTCTACATACCTCGAGGTACCAGCATGGCTTGTGAATGCTCCCAGCTTCTGGTCCACTTCTGGGTCTGCTGCCGAGTGCTCTGGGGAGCCCCCGTGCTCCTGTGGGGCACTCCATGTGCCACAGCAGCACAGCATTCATGAGCCACCTGCTACCTAGAAGTATGTAGACAAAACATTTAAAGCTGTGTCTATGTCTGAATCGCCGAATCTTTCCAAATGTCTCCAAATCGATTCGGAGGGTTCCGATTCGATTCGGAGAAATTAAAGGGTCTCCTGATTTGATTTGGATTCAGAGTTTTGGCCATTGAATTGGGCCGAATCTCCACTGAATCGAATCAGGGACCAAAGCTTCGCACAGCCCTACTGAAGAGACAAGCCATCCATTGGCATGAATGCACTGCATAATAAGTTGGGCCTTTGGAGCACATTAACATAATGGCATAATGGGATCTGATCCCTAATCCCAACAATTGCACCTTCTGCCATACATACATGCCAGGATGCACAATCAGATCCCAATAATGCCATTATTACTTGCCAGTGCCAGGGGATCCTGGAACCATGATTGTGGGACCACACAGGGGCTAGTCCCAGAGCCCCAACATTAAGCTGGCATCAGGCTACATGGTGAGGACCCTGTCACCTGTTCAATTGAAGAAATAATGGAAACCATCCATAAAATTATTACATGTATTTTGTGGAATAGTTTTGTGGCTTATTTCCCATTTTATTGTGACATTAATTGCCTGAATGTGTGGCCAGGTTACTGTTTAAGATGTGATTGACTAGTTAATCACATCATAAGTGTAACTTCTGCCAGGTGCCTAGTACTATGACAACCAATTTTTTGAGGGGGGCGGTGGCAGGGGAGACTACTGGAGACATGTAATACTGAGGAACACTAAGTGTTTGCCTTCCCAAGACAGTAGTGCCTTTCAGGAAATGAATTTGTCTTCCAATACATTTGGGTGCCTGAAACTACAGCACCTATTTTCCAATGTTCAAAGAATTCCATCGCCTACAGATTGTATCATGGAGCATAGCGTATGGAAGACAGGTAACAGAGGAACTGCTTTCTTTTTAGTTAAGAAATAGAGTTAATAATACCTTTTCCAATTCCAATTTCTGCCAGACAAAATAAATACCTGTTTCTGTATTGATGTTCAGAGCATCTCACACTTCATTCCCAATCAACCACCTGCAAGACTGGCTTGTGTGTTTAAGTGACAATGCAACAGCTTGAGATAGATTAACTAGTTAATAGTTCTTGGGCTTATTAATTTGAAACTAAATCGTGAAAGGCTTTAGTTGAAAGTACAGTGTATACTTGTGTAGGTAATTATAACAGATTTAAATATGAAAAGTTAACTCAAATTAAAAATTTTCTATCTTCAGATAGCAGGTTGAATGATGGCAGTGATACAATTAAAACATCAGTGCTGACTTTTTTGTATAGTTCAAATTTCTTTTTCATGATCTATTGATTGTATGTTCCTTAGGAGTCATCCTTTGATAAATCTCAAAATTATGAGGAAGTGATGTTAGAGTTGTATTCATAATCTTAAATAACTTTTCAAGCATACTAGTTATGGTTATCAAATAGAAAAAATAAGTTTAATTAGCCACATCCAAAGTGAAACATCTTGCTTCAGTGAAACTATCATTGGAAACGGAGCAAAATATTAAAACATATAGACTATTCTCTGAATTACACAAATCTTTTTCTAGTTATTGCAAAGGGAAATTTAAATTAAGGTATAAAAATTGGAACAACTAGGGCAAAAATTTCCAAATGTTTATTTCTGCCACAACAGTTGATTAATTTAATTCCTTTCCAGTGGGGTTTCTTGTTTTAATGCAGTCCCAGTGGGTGTTGCAACTGTTTTATCCATCTTCCCCCCACCTCCCCGTTCAGTTTAGTGGAGACTTCAGATGAATTAGCAGCAACCAGAGCTGATCTGAGCAGGGTGCAAGGCCCCGCCCCCACCCTGATCCCACACACCCCAGACCCAAAAAAGCTGCCACTGCCATTGGCAGTGGCGGGGGGGTGGGGGGCAGATAGCGAGCAGCTGGGTGTGAAGCCAGAGGCAACAGTGCAGAGTCACCGAAGGTAATCAGAAATTCAGGCCATTGCATGTTGTTCCAGTAAGGAGGAAAAATCAGTGATAGGCATTTTGATCAGATTGTTTTTATTTAGAAGGAATGTGTAAAGTCTTGTTTCCTTGAGGACATAAGGAATCAAACAATATGAGAAACTGTCTTTGCTCAACTCCAAGCCTTTTTTTTCAGAAAGCAGTTAGTCTGAAAAGCCTTCTTTTAGCTTTATATCAGGGTTATTCCACCAGTGCTTCTCAAGCTGCCTTTGGCACTCTGCTCCCTCTCTACATCTGTTTTTGACCTCTTAATGTGCATGTGAGAAGTAACACATATACTCCTCCATAAGCAATGCCCAGTGAACCCTTTCAACCAGCATAATTCAAATTCCTGATTAACTTTTGAAGTGCTCTTGATTTGGATGATGACATATGCCCAAGTTCAGTTTAGAGACTGTTTTTATTTCATAAAGGTCACATCTACATGTGCATGAATGCACCTTTGCTACTGCACATTAAATTTAGTACCTCTAATATAAGGTACTACATAAATGCACAGTAGTCACCACTAATGCACAGTAACAAAGGTGCACAATCTGTTTGTGACACTTAACATGCAGTAGACTGATTCTACTGAGCATTAGCATGGTTTTTGCTGTGACGTGCTAATACACAGTAGAATTAGTCTACCACACATTAAAGGTCTCATGTAGATGCACCCAAAGGGGCTTAACTATTTCTTATAGCTATTTTAAATGAGGGCTGACAGTTGCATCCAACCCAACATTTTCTTCAGTTAATTCTACTACGTATTAACACATTACTGGGAATTAACTTACTTCCATGTGGAACTATAATAATATCCTTTGTGGCTGTGTAACCCAGGACTGTTATGGAAAATGAGAAGAAAAAACTATTGTGCCAGAAGAGAGTTCATATTTTTCCTCATCTGGCTCATGCCATATTGGTATGTTGCTGAAAATTACGTCCTTATGAAAGCATATTTCATGGCTAAAGGATTGCATTCCATTTAAACTGAAGCTAAATATAATTTTTACAGATTTGATTAAGTTAAATGCTTTCTGAATTCCCATGTTTTAATTTCAGGTAAAGGGGACTTAGAGGAGGATGAACTATAAAACGTGTATGAGTCAAACAATAATTAAGTTAATCCATCATGCTAGAATTCTGATTTTTCTGAGGTTGTACTTATATCTGATGTTCCTAGCATGTCTTGCTGATCATTGTAAATATGTCTTGTGAACACATTGCTAGATATCTGTTAAAAGGGTAAATCAACAGAATTAGGACTGGTGACCCTAAAGGACAAAGGCGCCAGTGTTAAAAATGTATAAGATGTATAAAAATGTGTAAAGATGAACTGACCTTATTAAGACAGTGCGTTGCACCAGGAAGATAGTAATGGGATATTCCAAAGGGAGAAGCAGAATGTCCAAATGGACTTTCAACCAAGTATCTCAACATTTTTTATGAATATTTATTATTCTTATTTTATGTGAGGGTAGTAAGTATGGCCCTCACTGTTTTGTAGGTAGTTAAATTATCCACAGTGATATTAAGTAGCTACCTCAAGGTCACATACCAAGACTCTAGAAGAGCTCGGAATGGAACCTAGGGACATTGATTCCAAGCCCCATACTATAAAGCTTAGACATCACTCAAACTCTAAGGTTTCATTGAAAATCAAAACAAACTCTGAGAGACTACAAACAAAGTTAAGGCCAACTTGTACCTTTTTGATGTATCCACTATTCAACGGGAGTACTATACAAATCCAAGGACAAAATTTTTACTGTATAGAGGACTAAAAAATAAAAACTAGACATCTCTGTACAGTGTAGGCAGGGAACTTGTTCCCCACTCTTTCACAGGACTCTTTATTTTTTAGCAGTGTAATAGGGTTGCCAAGATTGTTATTTTAGATTTAATATTATATGACCCACCAAGTAAAGGTTTGCCTATATTGGTTATCTTGAAATCTTTGACTGCAGTTAGCCATTTTTATTTTATATTTTTTAAAAGTTTTTAGACACCCTAATAACCCTGCAATGTATTTTCTTTTGCAGAGCTCTGAGTTTCATCCAGAATTTTTCCAAAATACCATAGTCTGTGAGATGCCAAATAATGATCTCAATAAATTCAAAGGTTATGTGTAAGTATTTGCTATAATGAGCTTTCTATAATTGTCATTAGATCACTTCTGAACTTAAAAGTATCATTAAAAAACCCTAAGTATGTTGCAGAAACTGTATCAACATATACTTGAGCTGAGATATCCAAGGTCAGCATACCTGGAGTTTGGGTTTGTGGTCTGAGACCAAATCAAGGTTAATTTTCAGGCTTGGAGTCTATACATGTCGATACGACGTGAGTTGTTTTCATGAAGTTTTCAGATATCTCTAAGCCCGGTACCCTTTAAAATTGGCCTCAAACCCAACACTGTAAGAACCAGTTTGGGCTGGATTTAAGTTTACAATATCCCTCCCAGAGTTCAGAGACCTTCAAGTGCTGTTTTGTTTTCCTGCAAGGTTCTGTTTTTTCTGACCACAGGGAAGAAAGATGTCATGAATGAACTAATTTTGCTTGATTTTGCACTTGCAGTAATTCCACAGAAGTCAACAATTATACTAATGCAAAAGTATAAATTTACTAGTGTAAACCAGTATAAGTGAGGCAAGAATCAAGAAGACCTGAAGAAGAATGCCTTGCTTTTGAGAGCTTATCTAAGGGCCTTGTTACACTTTATGCTGTAAGTTTCCCAAATATTAATTTGATAGTGTTGTTCAGCTTAGTGGAGCAGTCACACCTTAAGCAAAAAGCCATCTCTGACTGTCCTTCATCTGCACAGCTATGACTTGCCACAAGAGGTTTGGTGAACAGAGGCAAAACTAGAAGACTATGTAAAATGTTCCTTAGGCAGTTCCTGGCAAGCTGGCAGCCTGGACTGGGGCAGGCCAGGGGGGCAGGCTCTAGAGAAAAAAAAGGATCGGGCCCCTCAGAGCTAAGGCACTGCCCAACTGGCTGGTGGTGGCACAGGGGAAAGCTCTGGTGAAAAAAGGATTGGGCCTGATCTCAAGGGGCCTGATCCTTTTTTTCTCTGGAGTTCATTACCCACACCATGACTGCCTTGCTAGGCATCGCCTGAGATTTGAGGGGTACGATCCTTTTTTTCTTCAGAGTTTGTCCCCCTGTGCCACCAGCAGCAGGAGCAACGAGCTGGTCCAAGAACTGGCAGGAGGCACCAGGACCACCAGGCATTCTGGGGCTTCAGCACTCACTCCACCCAATGCCCAGGGGTTGAGGCACCATGCCTGGCCCCACTGCACTCCAGTGTCCCTGCTTACTCAGGAGGGGCCATAGCATCCTGGGAGACTGGAGGATACTGCCCTAGAGTGGCATAACTTTAAGCCAAATAACTAGTGCTTTAAGCCACTTAAAGGTGTTAATGTCCAGCCAATCCAGGGGTTATGTGCTCAAAAAGCCACTTAAGTTTGCTGTGTAACAAGGCCCTAACTCTCTCAACTATGCAGTAGGCCAATAAAGAATGTCACCCTAAGGAATTCTTCCTTCTCAAAAGAATCAGGCTCACTATCCCTAATGTATTCTTTCCTTTTGTAGAACAGGAAAGGGAGATGCACACAATTGTTCTCTCTAGGGGAACAATGAGAATATTAAAATATTCTCATTGCTCCATATATTAAAATATAAGGCATACAGAGAGATTTTCATATGTGAGGTAGTCAATGTGCTTGTCTGATCATATAAATGTAGTCTAATACGGTCTCAAAGAGTGCCTGTACCCATGCCCTGGGGTGGGGGGTGGGGCATTTTAAGTAAAGCAGCTCTCAGGAGCCACTCTAACTAAAATGTCCGTAGTATCTCATGTATTCAGCATCCCTTGTTTCAAAGCAGGGGTGCTTTAACTAAAGCTTGTTCACAAACTTTAATTAAAGTGCCCCCACCACCATTTTGAAACCTGGAACACTGAATACACGAGACACTGCTGCACACTGAAGCCTTCTGATTAACCGAGTCTGCTCCAATGTGTTCTAATGAGAACACGTTGGAGCACATGTAAATGTGCCCAAAGATAAACCCAGTGTAGGACTGATCAGGAAGATGGATGCATCAAGACATCTTGAATTTATATTAGTCTCTGATTGCAGTTTTGCCCTCTTAGGACCATTTGCCTGCCATGTAAATTGCAGAAGGTTTCTAACATAGTCTGCTGTAATGTGGCACAAAGCAACTTCCATAAAATTCAGGGGATACAAAGGTGAGTTGCATGAGACTTGAGTTCTTCCTTCTTGTTTTACTGTCAGTTGCATCAGTTTAGAACCCATATGGAGCCACTTTTACATTGATATTCAAACATCACCTTTTGTTTGAATAAATGGGGGTGTTATCCAGTATAAACTAAATGTTCTAGGAGGTATGTACCTGCAGTAAAATAATACAATGCTGCCAGGTTACATTTCCCCTTTATAGTTATTCTTTTTGTTCTCACTATAAAACTATAAGGACTCTGAAGGACTGACTCTATTAAAATTGTGCGTGTGACCTTAGACATTCCTG